GAGATGCAGATAGCACCCAATTCATCGATAAACTATTTTAGAAAATACCTACTTTTAAGTAACATGTGCAATAATTACAGCGTCCAAAGAATTCAGAAAAACGGTCGTAACCGAATTAAAAGTATTTGGCAGTGAGTTGGTCACACATTCTTTTTGACAATAAACAAAACGTAATGCACAATCTCTTGCGTAGAAAATTTCCTCAAACTAGAGGGGAAATTAAAAATGAATTTTATCTCTTAAATTCTGTTTGTTTCAGTTACGGTACGTTTTGTTAGAAAACTCTTTAGCTATCACAAATCTATGATTTAATATCATCCATCATAGTCTAGCTTATCGTATCAATAAGTCATCATCACAACAGATTTTATATAAATTACAGATATTGGCCATGCGATAAACGTTTGCGAATTGCAACTAAGATGTTTTTAGGGTTCAACGGTGGAAAAAGAACGAACCTTCTTAACCGAACCGAACTTTCCAGTAAGTTCTTTAGCAATGAAATTCTGTAGAATTTAATGGATATCAAGTAAATCCATGTATGTAAAATTTCAGCACATCGGATTAACTATTTTTGTTGCAAAACTAATCAAGATGCCACAGAACAGAGTATAGCTTCCTATATCGCTGTCGTCCGTCGTACAATAAACAAGATTCTAAGCTTTATGCCGCATACCTCAAACTCACTAGTAAATCAAAACCTATTGGATACTTCCTGCTGACCTAGAATCATGAAATTTGGCAAGAAACAACGTCTCACAGTTAAATGAAAATATTCGAAAATCGTTGAGTACAATCACCGTGTTTTGATATTACGAACTTACATTCGCGGTTAATAATATAATTGGATACTAAAGAATTTTTTCAATTCGACTTATTAAAGATACGTCCTCATAAATTAAACCTTCCTATCGTGACGACATCTTTATGTATTAATAATGCGTACTGTATGGCTATTAAGGTTTATAATAGGTTGGACGAAGAAATGAAATCTTTGCCGTTAAATGTTTTTAAAGAAAAATTAAAATCATGGCTGATTGGGAAGCGTTTTTACACCATTAAGGAATACTTTGATGCTTTTAAGTTTCAGTAGTATGTACCCACATGTTTCCTGTTTTGTTGCATGTATCTATTAAATTGCGTAAATTAAGTAGTTGTAAGCTATTTGCATGCCAGTTGTGGTGATTTGTGCGAACTATTTTTATATTGACATCTGCTGTACGGTGTACCGCTTATCAAGCAAATAAATGAATTTTGATTTGATTTGATTTACTGCGATATGAAAATTTGTAAGGGCACGGAACCCTCAGTACCTACTACACAAGTCCGACTTGAACTTAACCGGTTTTTTATTTCTATTACCATTTTAAATATTATGGTCTTGTCTTATTAATAGTTACGTGCTGCAGTCATTTCTGTAGATGACTTTAAAATCTTTAAATTCATCTACAGTTAATATAATTTAGCTATTGTACCTATTCATTAAGTTGTTGTGTTGTGCAATAAACTTTCAGGGACTTTCCGTGAAATTGACTGGCTTCTTTCGAATTTCACATTTTTCTGTGTTTAGCCACAGAATAATCAATAAATACCTTCAGCTTATCATTTACCGAGCCAATAACGAAGTGTGCTACAACATTTTTAATTGTAATGTTATTAACATAACATTTGCATTAAAAAATATTATTGAACATGATAATGCTTACACGCTATTTGCATCAAAACATTATTAAGTATTATTAGCCATTTTAAATTCGCTCTTTGTTCATAATTTCGGCACAGTTTTATTGGTTCAATGCAGACGTCGTAAATATGTTATGTCACATAAACTCGTCAGAATCGGTGCTTTGGCATAATTCCTATTTAACTCGCACTTCGGCTAATGATCTAACGTTCAAAATTATAAATTGCGTGTCGGACAGATGCTGTTGTTACGGTTAATAACTAATTAATTTAATATTACACTTCATTAGTAGATTGGTAAGTTAAATAAATGATGCGACGATTTTTGAATCTAGGAAGATTAGAGGTCTCCGATTTGTAATTTTCTCTGGAAGGGATCCGTGGGATGTAACATTTATAGGTTGGGATTTGGGAGAAACTTGGGAAACACTTCTGGTTAGGTTTTTATAGGCGGTCAAGCTTGAGCTTGGGCTACAAAGTAGTTACAGCGATGGGAACGGGAGGTGGGAATAGTGAGGCTCGGATTGCGAGGCTTATTCACAATTTTAATCGCCTACCCAAATGATGAACAGATCGAACGAAAGATCAACAGCCAATTTAATATCAATTCAAAAGGGTCAGATAACTTGGATCAAGGGTAGAAAGGCCAGCGTACATGATGGTAGTAAGTAATCATTTGGTCAAAAGGCAAGAAACCCCATTCGTTGTTTCCGACGTTATTGTATCCAAATCAACCAGTTCTTTAGAAAGGTCTGCACAGACCGTGCGAAGTGGGTCGGTAAAAAGGAAGCATAATATTGTATTAGCTAGCAGCAGTAAATAATAAGTAAATAAAGGTAGGTACATAAATACAATAAACAACAAAGGAAAAAGGGGATTCATTAATTTGTATGTGTGTACTATGCGACACATTAATTAAAGTCTGGCACGATAAATAACGATTATTACATTATAATAATATTAAATGCAATACTACTAATAATATTAAGTACCAAACTATTATTTTGGCGAGGTTTGCTGTCTGAATAAAATCTTGCATGTCGCGTTACCGTCCCACAAATACTATTTAATTAGGAAACATAGCGACTGAAGTCGGTCGTTAAGCAATCGCCATCTAAGCTGATGGCGACTGCCTGGATGCATGCCTTTCGCCAGGTGGCGTGATCTCCCCCCACCGCGGGCGCATGGTATTGGGCCGATAAACATCGCGCCATGATTTCTGCGGATCCGCGTAATAATTGCGCAAAACATCACTCTTTCTAATAGACTCTGATTACACATGCTGGGTTTTTGTGAGTGAGACACAGTTGATGACTTGATAATAAATGAACTAGACCATGAGTCTTCTAGAAAAGGAAGCATTCAATCTTGTACAATAAAGCATACCAAGAAACACTCACTTCAAGGAAAAGCTATTGTTAAGTTAAGTAACACTGCTACTTACTTCCATTTATGACTATTTTGTGTTTAAGGCAAGTAGCATATCCCCTACGAATATTAAATTATGTTAATTGCATAAATTATATTTAAGCCAAGAAGAAGTTCTTGGGTTGCATTTGAATATTATTTAAGAAGTTAACTCTATGATAATAACACTCATGTTTATCACACAGATTTCTCACTGATAATGTTATTAATAAGCTAATAATTAATTGTATCCAGTGTGCAGAGATAACAGAGTTTAACCTACTTCCAGTTAGAAAGGTATAAAATAGGGATCTCTAGATTTACTACAGCAAAATCGCACAAATAACGAAACTTTCACATTCCAGTAATGAGAGTAGGTATTTGAAAGATAAAATATAATTTACTGCTTTGATGCTAGTGTTACTTGCTCATTAGCAAACTTTCTCTGAGTGAATCTATCATGCTAGAGACATTATAATAATATATGGAACAACTCAATTTCATAACAAGTCACAAAAACATTAACATCATCTTGAAATGTTGGTGAAGCTTATTATTGTAGTAATGCTGACATAATCATAAAAAATATGATTGCTAATAATGATCCTTAGATAATTATAACTGTTTAAATGTAAAATGAGTAATAATGAATTATAACATTCCTTCTAGTATTTATCTGCTTCTTACTAAAATCATAGTCATGTGACTGATAAATTTTATTAATCCAGTTTATTTCAAGATTATGAATAATGATTACACAATCAAGTGATTTTACATAACATCCATGCCTTATATTTTTTTAATACCTGAGTTAATGCATTTTTTATTCACTCAATTTTGTGATAATAAATAAATAATAGTTCTAAAAACTGTAGTTTTTCTAACAATGCCAAATTAAACATGTTTTAAGGTAAAATCCCAAGCTAATTGCTATAACCGGTAAGTTTAAGGAAAACGGAACCAATATTATGGAAAAATAATAAGATGGTAAAGATTTAAGACCAGGTCCAAGTGAAACGCTGTGCAATCTCATTGAAAATGGTTGCGGTTCTATTGTTATGTCAGAGTGTTTGGACAACACGGGTCCACATTTCACAAACAACCCAGCATTGTGCACTTTCAAGGAAATCATTTATTGGGTTGAAAAGCAAGAAGTCACTGAAAATTCTATTAAACTTTAAATATTCTGCCACAATAACTTTAAACCTTGCTGTGCAGCTCACAATCCCAGAAGCTATGCGGCGACTGAAGCGACGGCACATTCTGGACATCATGGAGAGCCAGAATTGACCATGGAGGGAGTCCCAGTGGGGATTCTGCTTTCATCGCCGATAATCACAGAACAAATCTGTTCATAGTCTTCTGACTGATCGCATGATGGAATAAAGGAAAAAAAAAAAAATATTCTGCCATAAAAAAAGCAAACCGGATAAATAATAGTTGTAAAAAAAATCTTAAGTTTTCAAACTTAATTTGATGCATATTTCATTAGATTTTTAATGAGGCTTGTTGTTTGAAAATTAACAACCAAATCACTATGAAATAATTACCATCTGATAGTATATTGAAACATACTTTGAATATATCCTTGCAAGGTAACTTTTTTTAGGAATTTCATGTAAATTGAACTGCAAATTATTTTTACAGATCAAAGGACATTGAAAAAGAACTTTAAACATAGAGTATAAAATAGTGGCATGTTTCATACATTAGCACAGTCATGACAAAAGGACAACATTTGACAAATTATCAAATTTTTGGTAAAAAACATGAAATAAAAAATATTCCACACTGAAAATATTGAAATGAAAATTGTAAAAGAATAAATTTTTAACAGCTTGGTAAAAAAATATTTTTTAACACGAATTTTCTACAGAAAAAAGTGAAAAGTAATGTAAAATTGTAGTTACCTGGTGGGCTATCAGTGAGAATGGTGATGCCAGTGGGGTCAACGTGAGGTGGGAACGCCTCGTACAGGTCGGGTTCCTCTTCAAGCACTGCCGACAACATTGCGGAGGGCATCCCGGCTCCACCGTCACTCACACACACGCACTCACTGTGACTAGACACCACACAACACTACACTGTCAGTCAGTGTCCACAGCTCACACGGAGCCGCCTCGAGCCATTCCTAATCGCTTGTCCATACGACAGCGGCCCACACCTAAGTCAAATCCTGCTGCACCATCTTCAAATCTGGAAAACAAAGTTCAAATCACTGACACGGTGTCAACTCTCAAGATAACAACACTACACTGAGAGCATTATCAGCAAACTGAAGGCATTATCGGGCGATTATGTTGACGGCCGAGATAACTGATCTTCAGCACTAAAACAAATCCTTTAGTTATCTAATTAGTTATAATTAAAACTGTTTGAATCAGCTGATTGTTGCGCTGCCAGGGCAGACTTGACATTTTATAGCTATTTTAAGACATCGGGCAGCTGATCGGGCGATCTTCAATGTCAGATGCCAAGTACGAAACGTGAGACATTGCACACTATCCAGTATTATTTAGTAAACCATGTTCTGTAATTTTTTTTCTGCCGTTCCGGTGGGAGGGCAATGTGAACTCACCGCAATCCTGACGATAAATGATGCGGTGCAGGATCTGCGCCTCCGTATTTGCCGCTTTGGAGTCCCCGCGGCAACTAAGCCCGCTGGCCCGTTCCCGGCCCAACGTAATCACGAATAGGATAATAGTCTCGAATGGGAGCCGACGCTTTTGCTTTGTCACTTAAACGAGCACAGTACATCACACAAATATATCGGCAACTGACCATACACACGGGGACATTGTATCAGAAATTCCGAATTTGTGGGGTAATTTTACAAGCCCCCTTCTTCGTAATCTAATTATCGATGTATCCGGTGAAAGTAGTTATTTTACAACACGTAATTTTCATTAATGAAGAAAATATTTAACCGATGTAAAAGTTTTTCGCTTTTTTATAAAAATCCCGTCCGTCAATCAAAATCGCACGAAATCCAATCAGCGATTTGTGAGAACGCGAGCTCGTTGCCTGTCGTCGTCCAACAGGAAGACCATAGACTAAAATACTGAACATGTTACAGAACGGACACACTGTAATGAGGAATAAGTAATCAAAAAACAGAATGTTTACTGCCTACGAACTGGTAACTTTTAAATGTTTTTTATGTAATGTAAAATAATGTTATATTAATCGATTTGATATAATGCTTAATTAAATCTTTACCTTTCTATACTAAGGAATACAGCAATTTATTTACTATCTACAAACGTTGATCAAAATATTTGATTTCTTGTTAACATTTTCTTTTGATAAGATAACACAAGATCAACGGAAGATGTAATAAAGTGACAGTGAGTGAATAGTTGTGAATAAAAATAGTTTAGATGGGTTATTATGTAGATAAACCAATAGTTTTTACGAATGAAAATAATTTCAAACTGCGTTTGTAATGATTGTAGTGAATGCAGAAAATTGGACGACATCCAATAAAACGCTCCCAAAAGGGTATGATGATGATGACTTCTGGATCTTCATAGGACTTTCGTTTATTAAAAATAATGACAAATTCCTCTATGTGATAAATTACAAATCGACTAAAAAGAGAAATGTTTATTTATTAAGAAATACTGCAATTTTGTAGCTTTTATTTAATCGAAGTGTTTAAGGAAAAAGATGGAATAAAAAATGCAGAATGTGTGGGCACTACAATCTAAAAAACTGAATTGGTCTATAAATCCATTGTGCCAAGCTTTATTTGCGCTATATTTAAAAAATTAAGTATGTTCCTTTGATTTCATACTTTGCAGCCTTTTGCAGAAAACTGCCCATAGAGAATTTTATCTTGTTTTTTTTTGTAGGGTTCCGTAGCAAGTGAGCAACTAAGGTTGCAACTGTTGCAAGAGAGGAACTGTTTATTATTTATTATGTATTCTAATCCTCAGTTAAGTTATTCGAGTAGTTTTTCGTATCATTATGTTTCTAATGGAAGTAAGTTATTGTTAAAAATCTATATTTGGTAGAGAAGCTATTTAATGCTTGGAGCTTGGCAATAGGGGCCTTTCTCGCAGAAACTTTCAACGATCATTGCATTGCATCATCATCATCAACATCCCTTTCTTTACATTCCACTGCTGGCTATGACTATGAGCCTCCTTTCTTTGCAAAATTGATTACAATTTTATCATTTATTTACGATAATGGAACACTCTTAGTTGTCACTGTCAAATATCTGACTGTCATTTAGTGTTGGTTGTCACAACATACTCTCTAATCTGTGGTCACAAAACGTCACCGTATTGTTGTTTTGGTTGTCGATTCTTGGTTGTCGCACTTTTGCAATATCTTCTTTAAATCAGTCTCGAGTGGAAAACTTTACTAATGAATATTCATGCGCAGTTCTTTTAGGCAAAATCTATGTGAATCTTAAAATGTCTTCGAAAGCTGATACCTTAAAAGGTAAGACGTAAAAGATAACATGTTTTTTTCTGAATTTGTATGGTTTCCAATGATTCATCGTAAACATATTTACTTACAGAAACTGTGACTGTGCTAATAAATGCTGCTAGCGATAGTGATAATTCAGTCAATAATGTAGTTATCAAGTCCTTGACCAAGGTCGCGAACTCGTATCCCAATGAGGTGATAGAAATATTCTGTGAATTCTACAAGAACACAATCAAGGTGAACACTTCACAGCTGGGTAATATTATAAAGTAAGTAAATTCATCCTTATCATTAAATTACCAAAATTCTTAATCTATGCATTGTTAATTACTTTACTCTAGCTTCCAGAATGATTCAGCATATTTTATCACAAATTTCGCAATTATACTTCCTTTATCTATCTAATGATACTGTTGAACTAAAAGGCACAAAAACGATTACATTAAAAAGTATTACCAAAAATAACTTGCTATACTTACTACTACCCTCATAAAAAATATTAATAATACGAACCACCATTGCAGAGTACTGGAACAAACATGCGTCAACCAGGTGAAGAAGCTGGAGAACACAACGGCAACGTTGCTGGTGAACTCCATGCTTCGGGCCATGACCGAGAACCCGCAGTACGAACCAATAGTCCAGATAGGAGCGTCTTCAGTGCTGGTCGCGGTTGGACATGAACATTTGGACTTGGTACGTTAAAGTTTAACATTTTTCTTTTGGTGGACCGACAATATCATAAAGGTAGCAGGAAGGCGCTGGATCCAGGCCACTACCAACCGATCTACATGGAAATCATTGGGGGAGGCCTATGTTCAGCAGTGGACTTCCTATGGCTGCAATGATGATGATAATGTTGATGACTTTTCTTTTAAATTGAGAGATGACAATCAAGTAAAAGTAATTATGATAAACTGAGCTCCTATTGAAACAGCTACCACCATATTCATTGTTTATTCATACATTTCTTCTAATTAGATTATACTTATGATTAGACAAAGAGCCTTCTGCCTTTAGCTTTTGCCTGCCTCTTGTGTTTATTTTAGTTATACAAATATACATATTATAATAATATCTTTGATTTATATCCTGGCTTATGATTTATTACATTTGTACTATATTATTGTAATTTACTAATTTTACTCTTCTATTTTAGAATTTTGAAATTTGATGTAAACAAATAACATGTTGTGGCTGGAAAAAACATTCATATAAGAGCATAGTTGTTTCAACATGTGCATGTGAATGTTTTTATGGGAAATTAATATTGATTCTGTTTTAAAATCACTTTAGTTTATTGGTTATCCAAAGAGTTTGAATTGTGATTCATGTTCGCAGACCAGATATTATGTTACATGTGACAGATTTATCACTCTTTGTTCTCCTGAGTTACACATGATTTAGTATAATTGTAATCAATAACATGCTATAAATAGTATTTCAAGGTGCAAGTAATATTTGCAATTAATAAATCCTATTGGAATATAATGGGAAACTGTTTTCAGTTTTGATGTTTTCCTTTTAACTATTTTGTTTACATACTCTACTTACATACCAAATGAAAACATTATCATGTTTGTGAATAATAAGAATTGAAGTACTTATAGGTGTAGTTACCAGAATCTCATGGCAAATGGAGAAAATAAACTTTGTTGAGTGCAATACTGGGTAAATATGTCTGTTTCTTTTACACCTTCATAAAGAGAAAAAGAGAGACATACTGTCACGGTGACAAAAGTCACCCGTACGCTCATACCGTAAAGCTACGTAAGAATACGATTACTATACAGGGTGTTAGGTAAATGGGTATATGAGCCGACACTAGCCCATGTTAACATGGTCATATAAATGGTATGGTGAAGTCAGAAATTTGATATCATCATTTTGATTTTTTTAATTTTAATACAAAATAAATTTTATAAAATCCGATTTGTATGAAAATTAAAATAATTAAAATGAAGATATCAATTNCATGGTCATATAAATGGTATGGTGAAGTCAGAAATTTGATATCATCATTTTGATTTTTTTAATTTTAATACAAAATAAATTTTATAAAATCCGATTTGTATGAAAATTAAAATAATTAAAATGAAGATATCAATTTTCTGAATTCACCATACCATTTATATGACCATGTTAACATGGTCTAGTGTCGGCTCATATACCCATTTACCTAACACTCTGTATAATTATGTAAGTCATTTGTGCTCAGGGTATCGTACATTAGTTTTACATACTTAACACAAAGTTTATGCCACAAATAAACACTACACAGCATGATGGGCTTGTATTTAATTTTACACAGCACAGTGACGTCATAAATGTTTTCCAAAAGGACATAAAAGTATAGGGACTCCAAAAACAAAATAGAATCAAATAATAATAATAATAAAATCTTTATTTAAGCAAGACAGATTTACAAAAAACGGAATGACAGTCTTAAGCTAATTACATGCTATGGTGGATTGTGAAGAAGTGTTGGTAGCGGTTCTCGTTCTAAATGCCGGCGCATGATTGGGAAAGCCGACCGCGCGTAGCGTGATAAAGCGAAGCAGAAGAAAAAGTGACGTCATGAATCACATTCCACCTTCCCAGGTACTCCGTCTACTAATTAACCAGCTGACCCCAGCGTCGGTCCCGCACTACACCATCGCTCGAACCCTCGGCACCTTAGCCGCGGTCAACACCTACGCAGTAGTGCCTCACGTCAAGGAGGTCCTGGGCAAAATGCTGCCACTCCTGCCGCTGGTCCGACACGACGCTGTGAAACAGGCCTTCGCTTACGGTAAGTAGTAGGCTAAGTCACAAAAAATACTACAAAATGTAATTGTTTTTGGCCAAAGACAAGGGAATAAGGCTAAAAATGAGGTGGTAACTAAGTATATTCCCACTGCCTTGGTTTTAAACTCTGACTCTGAGAAACATTTTTTTGAAAATTAATTTTGAACTCTATTTCATCTGTATAATGTGCACAATATTATGTTGGCAACACTCGGTCGCTCAACCAACTAACAACAGGTTAGCGTGCCTCGTCTTTCTTATTGGAAAATAAAATTGACTCATGTTTAATAATTTATATTATGATGTTTGACCAGACATTGCTTTTCCTTACATTATCATTTGTGTTCCCCATCTGGCATCAATAGACGAATGTTGTTAAGTATTTGACTAAGTTCTTTTGCATTCACAGCTTTCGGCCACTTCGCAGTTGCGGTCTCGGAACAGATCGGCGATAACGTCGAAAACGACAACATAACATCGATCAAAGACAATTTTGTCACAGAGTTCTCTATAATCTTCGACGTGTTGTACAACCAGTGGCTGCCCTCGAACGAGCCGAAGGTGTCAGAGGCGGTTCTCGAAGCACTAGGTCCCATCACTAGACTCATACCCGAAAGGCAATTCAACGAGACGGTTAACAAATTTGTCCTCTCATTGCTGTCTTTGTACCGCAAGCCAACTATAAACGCCTACTACATCAGTCAATGTATCTCGTACCTACTGTCGCCATCGCCTCTCAACCCCAAACTGAGCTTAAACGACAGCGTAATAAACTCAATCAACCACGTCCTCTTCAATTTGATCCTAGTAGAGCCAGATTACGATCAGCCGCATACGGTGAAAAACCATTTCGAAGTATTACGCTGCTTCGATCATATGGCAGGGCAGTTTCCTGACCAAACCATTGAGAGTCTTCTCCACCAGTGCAAGAACAACCAAGAAAAAGACCGGATGAAAGCAGTTATCATCTTGACCCACTTGACGACGTCGTCCCAAGTTTTTGTAGAAAATTATGCCGTCAAGTTCATCGCCATATTAAAGGTCATGACGGCAATGGAGCAGGGCTTGAAAATGAAAAAATTGCTCGTAAAGGCCATCGTCGGTTTGGTCTACAGAAACTGCATTACATCTGCCGAAGATTTCATTATGGTTGAGTTCATCATAAAACACTGCGGCTGTGAAGGCCCTCCGAATGTGCCGAAGAATGAAATCGAGGATTTGCACAATACGTACAAAAGTTCCCTTATTCTCATGTGTAACACCGTGACGAGTGTTCGCACACAATTGAGAAGTTTACTCCTGGCTGCACTTACCGTTGATGACTTTACCTCGTCCATGTCGACTGTTAGCCAATGCCTGACATCGCTGCTACAAAACAATTCTGACGCTGGTGAAGATGATCAGAAAGAAACACTAAAAGATTTGAGGTACACCCCCGACCAAGTCTTCACAAGATGCATAACTCACATAGCAGACCCTGAACAAATAGAACGAAACAAGAATTTGCTCATATTCCTTGAAGAATATTCAGGAGATGTCCATAAGAATTTGAAAAACTCCTGGACTGTTGAGATTCAAAGACTTCTGAAGTTTGTCGATAAAAGCGAATCCACGGAACAGTGGCATAGTATGCTTATAGACCTCTTAGAATCAGCTATAGAGAATGTGAACAATAACAAATGGGTGGAGAACATAGCCGCTTTGATAACGCAACAAGTTCTGTCCAAAAAGCAGTCGCCAATTATCAAGGGAATGTCTTTACAATATCTGGCCATATTAACGTGCCATATGACTAACGCTGCCGTGATAGAAAACGTTTTGAAGATTATTCTCTTCGCCCTTAAATCCATTCCGATGGAAAGCGTCGACTACGTCAGCAAAGCGATAGGAATAGCTTCCAGACAACATGGCGAGTTTGTTCTCAACGAACTCGATGCCACTTATAAGGAGAACGAATCGAAGAGAGGCAATAAAATCCTTAACTTTTTATCATCTAGAAATTCTAAGAGCGAAGTGGAGCTTAGCTCTGTAAAATACGCAGTGATCACTTGCTACGGAAAAGTAGCTGAAAACTGCTTGGATGTGCACGTTTTGGCGAGGTTAGGTGATAACGTTACATCAATTTTATTCGAAATTTTGAAGACCAACCCTCCCTTTGATTTGTGCAAAGCAAGTGTCACCACCCTTTACCAAATTAGCAAGGCGTTGTATCCTGCAGCCCACCACAATGTGGCTCTCAGGAATCGCTGGCAACTCCTGAATGCTGTTCTTGAACAGATTTACAATCCGAATTTGGACAGACGCAACGTGGAGCTGTATCCGATTGTCGTAAAAGCTTCGAAGAGTCTAACGAAGTTACAAAAGGGTATCCTGCCTGAGGAGAGAAACACGATCCTTAGGGTGCTGTTCAGTAGCATTTTTGAGGAATTGTCCTCATTCAAAAGGAAATACGAAGTCGAAGGGAATGGCGACAAAAACGATCGTCTTGCCAAAACCCTAAACGACAGCTTGACTTTACTTCACCATCTGATTAGGGAGCTGATACTCCAGTCGACCTGCCTGAGCACGATAGACGATCTGATCGGTTTGCTGATAGAGTGGCTACGTCACGAAAACGATGAGATCCGAACTGCATCGGTGTTGATTCTGCAAGTGATATTCGACACGTATATCAAAAACGTCAAACTGAACTACGAAACTCCCAGCAAATTTGGTCAGATGGGCTACTTGTTGGGTTTGGTCGTTCCAGGAGTTGCGGATACCAATTTCGCGGTGAGGCTCACAACGATAGATTGCATTAAACTCGTGATACAAATCCAGGATTTGTATGAGGGGCATACTATCGAGCCGGATGACGAGTGCATGGCTGATCTGGCGAATCTTCAGAATAATGTGCTGACAAATGACATAAACATGATTGTTGATTACTGTGTTGCCTTATGCAATGCGATATCGATGAAGATTCCTCATCATCATACGATGCAGTTTGTGGAGAGCCTGTTGGAAGGTTACGATGACCAGGAGTTCAGGAGTGTAGGGATAAGCGCAGTGCTGGACGCTTTCTTCGTGAAGAAGGGGCAGGACTTGTACCAGACTATCGAGAGGATAATTGAAGTGATGCTGAATACTATGGATTCAGTGGGTGAGGAAGCGCAGCAGCGCTTGATGAAGCCGCTGACGTCACTGACGCGTCATCATTCGAATGCGGTGACGGCCGTGCTGTTGGCGCAGAGGATTCCTTTGAAACCGTAAGTTCTTTATAACTCAAACATGAAATATTGTGATGACTCAGACCCTCGACCTTTCGTTTGCTTTACCCCAGGACTTCGCCGAAAGAGTTATTTGCCATGAACTTGTGAGTCCTAAAATTTCATGTGAATTGGAAAGAGTTTTATTCTCAGTTGTTGTGTATAGGTTATTGCTAAAGGTTACTATAACCAGTAGGAATTGGAGCATTTTCTTGAAGCTTGGCTCTACATGAAATCTGATAACTTTTGACAGTGCGAACCGTCTGGTCTCATCTGAACATGTATCTGTTTTAGTGGGATAACACCATTTCTTCCATTCGTAGATGCGTGGTTTCCTGTTGGCGATACCTGGCGCGCGACGAAGCGTTGTCTGGAGCGATCGTGGACAACTTCTTACGGCTGATGACGTCAGTAGAGCTGTACGAGGACCCTTACCATATAACTGACAACCATATAGCCGCGCTCCAGCCCTTGACTGTGAGTATTACGTCACATTATCTACGGTGCGATCCTCATTCATAGATGCGTGGTACTCCTGCTGGTGAAACCTGGTGATACGTTGAAATCCGGGTAAAACATAGGATAGTTATACTGATGTTGGAAAGGGGGACACGCGCACTATAAACTCTGTACTGTAAGGCCCAGAACACACGGTGAAACGCAACTGCAACGATACTGCAACTTCTAGTTACTTTTGAGTTGCATCTAAGTTTCTACCATAGCGTCTGTTGAGAGACCACACACAGTGGCGGCGTAGCATGGGTTGGCACCCGGGGCGGTACACTATGATTGTGGTTGCAGCGTGTATGTGCATGTGGATTGAGTGATCCTTGCTTCAATCTTAACAAAAATCGAGGAAGTTTTACTTAAAATATGTTAAAACATTGCGATGAAGTTTAAANAATCCACATGCACATGCAGCGTGTGTAGAAAATGGTTGAAACTGGTTTCTAATCAATAATTTCAAAAGGGTTTCGTTGCAGTTGCGTTTCACCGTGTGTTCCAGAACACACGGTGAAACGCAACTGTAAAATTCAAAATTCATGCGAGCGAGTTTTGGTGGATCAAGTCGTCACGAGTCGGTTTATTCGAATCATGCAATTACTCGATTCTGCGATTTGAACCCGTACTCGAGTTCTGTGTTTGGTATTCGAATGTTGACTCGAGTGTAGAAGTTCGAATACAGAATTCTTCTAGGATTTTGAGTCCAGAACCCAAGTCCGTTATCGATTTTAGAACAAAAGGCAAAATCGAGAAGGAGTAACTTGAAATAAAGATCTTTCTTGACCCGAGTCGATTAGCTAACGTAATATACCAATTATTCAAATAAGGCATAGCATAAAACAGTGATGGCTAAGAGGTCGGTCTACCGGTCGACCGCGAAGCCGAGTTTGGTAGCCCACGATAGTAAAACTGAACAGAATGGTTGAAAATGAAAAATGATTTATTTCACTTCTCTAAACTGTACCTTGCAGTCGACCGCAAGAGATATTTTCGAGCATAAGTAGACCTCACAGGTCAAAAGTTTGGCCACCCCTATCATAAAATGTACCTTTTGTTTCAGCTAATAAGTGCCTTAGGAGAAATGTTGCAAGAGCAGACCATGAACGAGACATGTGTGGCCAAGTTTGCAGACCTTTTCTCCGTGCTCTACACAACACTAGCCTGCTACATAGAAGCGGAACCGCCCGCGTATTCTCTACCAGTCAACCGCGCGCAAGAGAGGCTCGGTTTTGTTCCTAACAGGGACTCCATAAAGATGTCTCCGGCCAAGATCACTGTGAACACTTTCAACGCGTTTTTGGAGAGGGCTAATTGTTATAAGGTGAGTTTTTGTTGTCGACCTAATAAGTGACGGAATAAAGTTGAATATTGTAAAGCACCCTAGCAGATCATGTGCCCACATAATGGCTATATTCGCACCAAGATAGGTGTCTAAAGCCTGGTCCGGGAGCACGTAGAATCCCGTCCAATGACCCCAAGCTACCCATCCTTATCGCTCGCGCGTAATTATGTTGCTGTCGCGACTGTGCGACGGGCGCCCGCAGTGAGTGTGCGAGCGCGACAGCAACATAATTACGTGCGAGCGACAAGGATGGGCAGCTTGGGGTCATTGGACGGGATTCTACGTGCTCACGGACCAGGCTTTAATCGAGCAACCGTTTAATTCCAATTTTCGGCAGTTCTCCAGTAAATATTACCGATTGACACTTTCCACATTTTAGAACAGTTTCTATTTGGCCTTCCACCTAATAACCTCGTTGCTATAGAGGCCATATCTCGTCAAATGTAGTATCTGCTCGATGGACCGACGACCTCAACAAAATTTGCATTTCTGGATGACAAAAGCGGGAGATCGTGCTTTGTGATATCTTAGGACTACGTCCATTAGTAGACTGCCATAGGCTGAAATGATGATTATAGTCTAGGAGCCATTATACCAATATGTTTCTTGTACATACAAACAAATGTTACACTTCTTCCTCTTGAAATACGGTTTAAACTTCCAAACACTTGACAAAATTATTTATCATCAGGATGGCAGCAAAATGGACGAGAACAATCAATTTGTAAGCCATCTTATTGTACGGTGTTTAGACAACTAAAATCATTCCATTTTCCTATTGCTTCGCATTTTCGTTCCCTTGGACAATTCAGCGATGCATTTGAATGAATTTGGTTTTTAACAAATTACATTTTGCATGAATCCGATCTTGTGTCATTTAGTTAATTTTTTCTGCTTTCCTTTCGAACATTATACATTTGAAGAGTTTGCTCTATGGCCCTGAAATTTCCTTGGATGTTTACTTTATTATAACTAGACTTAAAAGTACATGACAGCATATCAAGCGTAACAGTTGCAATGCAAAAGTAGTTCTTATTGCGTACGATATGAGGTTGGTTTTAACATGTTTCGTTTGATATGCTTCGCAATCTAGCTTTGAATATTATTGTCTTGAATGAAACAGTACATATTGAGAAAGAAATCCTTCATGCCCTCTTGAGATATCATTTCATAGGAGTTAAATATCTACATGAATATAAAAACGAACGGAGACAAAGCTTCTTTTATTTTAAATAATAAACAATGAGTTCTGTAAACTTTTAAAGTAAGAACCAATCAATAAAAAGAAAAATAAGTCAGAAAGTTAGTGAAAAACTTTAATTTTAGAAATGTCTTTATAGATAGATTGAACATTTAAATTTTCTGTTTCCTACCCAAATATGGTCCACTTAGCTTAGAAGCTTTCTCTCTTTTATTTCATTCAATTCTCAACCAATCAATACATCAAGAAACTCATCCCATTCAGGTGAAGGAAGCTTGTTCGCTCTGCCTGAGCATCGAGCACGGCGACTCTTCCACCACACTCCTCGAACTGGCTCCTATCTTAGGGGGTTCCCTGAGCAGGGAATGCCCCCAACACTTGGCGAGGGTAGTCTCAAAGATTGCGACCTACGCGCGATCGCCGCTACCCCCTCAAAGATGCGCTGCGCTTGCGCTGTTGGCTGATCTACTGAACTATAGGTGAGTTTGTTTATACATAGAACCCAGCTCTACACGTTGGCTCCAATATTGGTCCCAAATCCAACGGCGTTTTTCCAACATGTGGATCTAGAAAATACCTGATCTCACAATACTATAGTCTGGTCTGTGAGCACGTAGCACGTCTGGTTTGGATCTCCACGTTGGATTAGTGGCGTTGGAACCAAAGTTCGGGTCTACGTGTGTAGCCGCCCTAATGTATAAAATAATTCATAATGGATGTTAAGATGGAGATGGGACTAGTCTGAAATGCTGAGCGGGCGCCTTTTTGGCACAAAATTAACGTGTTTTAAATCTCTTTGTTCTTTTTAATTAGTTTTTTGTGTCAAATGAAGTTTTTCTTATCTCTTATTTTATCTGATACCACTTTTCGTTCTCTCCGCTGTTATTAGATAGGATAGAAGCCGTAAATGAAACTAAACTAAGGGAAATTCAACGGAAAAGCTGAGTTGAGCCCTGAGGAGTCCCGGGGTTTAATAGTGTTGTTGAGTGTATTTTGTTTCGTCTATCCTAAACCCAGAAGAGTTTAGAATCAGTTAAAGTTGAGTTTAATTTTAAGATTAGTTCATCTTTTTGATAATAAATCACAAAGAAGGGGCTTAAAAGCATATTACCAACTCCTTTACAGATGCAACAACAACCCAGTTCTCATAGAGACCGTCTTAGCCACTCTGAACACCGGCTGGAAGGATGAGCATCCTCGCGTGAGGGCAGTTTGCCTCCGCGGGGCTGCTAACGTAGCCCGTCTCTCGAACTCTCATCGCGCCATTGCCCTCCCGCCCGCTTTAGCAGCCCTAAGCCAAGGAGTCGACGCACCGCACACTCAGTAAGTAACACCACAGAATAATAATAAGTACTACGTACAGAAGTTTTACTTCGCGAAGGTCTTTAAAAAAATGTATGCTCAATGTCATTTCATTAACAATATGGTGTAATTTAGCCTGTCTCAAGAGTCAAGCACCATTTTGTTGACAAACGTCAGTGATCAGCACTGCGCCGAAGCTAAAGGGCTGACTTCGGTAAAATGATGTGACGTGAGGTGCCAAACTGCGGAAAATGGCGGTGGAAATACATGATTTAGCATGAATTATCATGAATAATATTAACTACTTATTTACCTCTCAGTGTCTTGAGGCAACTTAAAAAAGTACATTCTGTGTTTTTATTATTTTTTAGGCAGTTAAATACTGCACAGTGTTTAGTACACCATTTTCTTTATTTTCTTCCATCATACACAAGAATACGCGTGCGTGAGTCAATATTCGCTCGTATGTGAGGCCTTGTCGAATAGTATCCTGTAAGTGGGCCATCGTGCATGTTTTGTTTTCGATGTAAACTCGCGGAGATGAACAGGCCTGGTAACACCAAGAAGATTCCGCTAAAAAGATAGGTTCCTTATCAAATTTATTTATTTGTAATAATTTGAATAATGAAAGTAAAAAAAATGCCGTATGTAGACCTGTAACCATCAGTCGTCTAGAACGTTTTAAAAATAATCTTGAAAATAAATTGCATTTAGTCCCGTATGTGCAGGGAGACCCAGATGCTCTTTTTCAACATATTACTCCATTAGATATCACTAAAACTTTTAATCTTTTAAACGTAAAGAGTACAACTGATATCTGGGGCATCTCTGTCAAGATAGTCAAACACATTATTGATATAATTTCCCCACAGTTAGCGATAATATTCAATAATTGCATAGAGAAGGGAATCTTCCCCGACCTCATGAAACATAGTAGACTAATGCCATTATTTAAGTCTGGTAGCAAAACCGACCCTGGCAATTATAGACCCATTTCTATCTTGCCCGCTCTGAGCAAGATTTTTGAAAAAATCATACAGGAGCAACTTATGATTCACTTTGGCTCTAATAAACTGTTTCATAGTGAACAATATGGTTTCACCAAGGGTCGTTCCACCACCGATGCAGGGGTTGCACTACTTAAACATATCTTCGAGGCTTGGGAGAATTCTCAAAATGCACTAGGGGTCTTCTGTGATCTCTCAAAAGCTTTTGACTGCGTAGAACATCAAACGCTAATTCGCAAACTGCACTATTATGGGGTAAAGGACTCGGCTTTGGATTTAATACAATCCTATTTAAACTTTAGAGTTCAAAAAGTTGACATAAATGGTGTTTTGTCTTCTGGGTCACCTGTGAAAATGGGAGTTCCGCAGGGGTCCATTCTGGGTCCATTCTTGTTTCTTATATACATTAATGATCTACCATATTTTGTTAAGGACTCTTGCGAAATCGTGTTATTTGCTGATGACACATCTTTGATTTTTAATATCGATAGAAGTAAAAATAACTTTGACGATGTAAATAATGCACTAACAAGAGTTTTAAGTTGGTTCACTACAAATAATTTACAACTCAATGCAAAGAAAACAAAATGTATAAAATTCTCTTTGCCTAACGTAAAAACAGTTAGTACTCAAATAGAACTTAATAATAATGCAATCGATCTGGTAGACTCTACTGTATTTCTGGGAATTACCCTGGATTCAAAACTCCAGTGGGGCCCCCATATAGAAACTCTGGCGGGAAAGCTCAGCTCAGCGGCTTTTGCAATAAAAAGGATACGGTCATTAACCGATGTTTCAACAGCTCGCTTAGTCTACTTTAGCTACTTTCATAGCCTAATGTCATATGGAATCATGCTATGGGGCAAAGCTGCAGATTTTGAAACAATATTTATTTTGCAAAAACGTGCGATAAGATACTTGTATAAAATGAAAGCAAGAGCATCCCTTAGAGAATTGTTTAAAGAAATTGGCATTCTCACGGCCGCTTCACAATACATCTTAAACTGTATTCTATTTATTCAAAAAAATATTACTGAATTCAAAAAGAAAAGTGATATTCACCAAATTAACACTAGAAATAAAAATAAATTGGCTATACCCGCTTTTAGACTTAATAAAGTGTTTGCCACTTTTATGGGACAAGGTATCCATTTTTATAACAAAGTCCCTGATAAATATAAAGAGCTACCGTATAATAAATTTAAAGATATAGTTAAAGATCACATGCTTAAAAAAGCCTATTATACAACTCGAGATTTTCTTAATGATAAGTCATCCTGGGAGTAGGATTATGGTCCTCTCATGCTCGCACTAAAAAGAATTAAAATGAAAAGTAATGTATAAACTCATAATAATTTCTCAAATGTTATAGTGTCATGCTTCTCAATCTGGACTGTTACTTAGCTTTATTATTAGTTTTTTTTTTTAAAGAGATAACTTGGAATTGTCATTCTCACTAAAATGTCTCTGGGGTGGTGGCGTAGTGAGGCGGGTCGTTACATTCCCTCTAATATGGTCGAGTGAAGCGATGGCTGGTTCACTCGTCATGTCTGTGAACAGGCGCTGCTTTCGGGGACTGGTCAATCCAAGTTATTCAAATTTATGTATGCGAGTCATTTCTACTAGTATCTTAATATGTAAGTCTAGATATTAGCACGTCACTACCTTGTTTAATATACCACGCAATCTTGTATACCCATTCTTATAAGATACACCATACAAGAATGCATGGTAAATTTCAGTGAACTGCTCCTGAATCGAATGTACCTACTACTACTATTTCTATTTATTTATATTAACCGGCAGACAGTGGTGACTGAGTTTGTTGCGGCGCTTCTTCTCAGCACTTGCCAAATGTTGGTCTCGAAGCGCTGGTAGGGTAAAAAGATTATGAGACATGTAGAGGCTCCTTAAGAGCAAAATGACGATTTGTAAGAACTATTTATTAGTCCAAACAAATAAAGAAATTTTGACTTTGACTTTGACTTTGAAAGATTATTCTAGAGAGAAGATTCTAGTAAATGAGCCCACGATGGTTTCAAGAGCAAGAGATCGCGTCACAGACGGACATCTCATGACTAGAGACAACTTTACACAGGTCTTTATAGAGTGTCAAGTGGAACCCTAGAGCTAAAATCTAACTAGAGCCACCCAGGCACCCGAATCATTCCCATGTTCCGCGATATTTGATAGTTTTAAACTTTTCGAGTTACGTTATTATTTGATAAATTTTATTAAAGAAGTTTTTTATACTTATGCTTTTTTTTACTCGAAATCCATAAGTTCTTCGGTATAACGTTAACTCACGGGCTCATGCCAAGTGAGTTACGTGTTCAGAGTTGATTGCGGAGTTGGAGTCGTATATACTATATACTTATTATTATTATAATGATTTTTATTTTGTTCAAACTAGACCAGACTTATCGGAACCGTACGCGTATCGGTCCCGTGCCAGGTTAAGGTAAAACTGGTGTTTCTATAGCAACGCTATCGCTCACGACTTTAGGCACGCATATTTGGTATTCTAGAAGAAAACCACAATCCTACAGCACGTACCAGCTACATTCCGCGTAGTAATTGTACAACACCAGCAACATTTCGTGTGGTAAACGTCTGGCTTGGCACAATACGCGACCATTAAATATGACTGCCGTGACACCTTGTTCTACCAGCCATGTTCTTGAAGAGATTCTACTTACCTTTTTCCTTTTAATATCTATTAGGGATGTTATGGATATGTAGTTTCAGTTATGGATACGGTTACGGATATAGGAATAATATTATACCGGTTTCGGTTACGGTTACGGATATTTTTTATTTCGGATATCCGAAAGTTTCGGTTACGGTTACGGATATCTGTGCTTTAGAATGCAATTTGCAATAGTTGTCCAACATGGTTCAATTATGGCCACACACTTTACATCGAATAAAAAGTAATAAAAAAATAAAAATTGATATTATGTAGATGGCATTATAAAGGTAATAATTAGGCTATTATAACTTTACATATAATGCTATATGAAAAACAATTTAAACTGCCTACATCCGAAACTTTTGAATCGGTTACGGTTTCGGATATTTTTTTATTTTGGATATCCGAAAGTTTCGGTTACAGTTACGGATATCCATAACATCCCTGATATCTATTCCTGAAGTATAACTGAATTTGAAAGTGAGCTAGTTATAAACACTCGTGACACTTGCAAATCTAACGCCTTTTTAACCATGCGTTGACGGTAGTCTTACTTTTCTTCAGTATTACTGGTCTTTTTATATGTCAGTGGCATAACAGAGATTAAAAAATCATATTACTCACAACTATGTAAGATCATTGATGATTTTTGCGTCGCCCTAAACAGGGACTTAAGCAGTGGGACCACGGGCAACGCATGCTTCTAATATTGTGGCGGCGACATATTTTAGTTTAGTTTTTCAAACTGATGCAATAGTTTCCCAACCCTTGCTTGTTCCAAGCAAACAGTTTTTGCACACAATACTTTTAATATCAGGAATTGATCTGAACCGTTATTTGCAGATCACCATCAGATAACGTGCCGTTAGCAGCCATACAAGGCTTAACCAGGCTTCTAGTAGAGACCGAGAAACTTGACAAGGATTTCGAACGCGAGCTCTTGTCTATATCCCAGAAAATCCGGCCGTTTATGAACACTGAATGCGCCCAGCTTAGGGAGGCATCCATTAGGCTGTTCGGAGTGATCGCCGGGAGGGTCAACGCGGAAGGCTTGGCAGAGCAGTCGATGGCATCCCTGCCTTGCTTCCTGCTGCATTTGTGCGATAACAACCCTGCTGTCGTGAGGGTAAGATGTTTTTTTGCTTGATTATCTTCATAAATCTGTTTCAGTCCCATAGAAGTACTATTTTCTAAGAAATATGATGACTGAGCTAAGCTGAACTGTTATCTCATTTTCCCTTTAAACGATTACTTCACTTCTGTCTTGGTTCAAATATGATTGTTAAGCTGTCGTTTACAGCGTTATAAGCATAGCAAAAGACCTTTTGACATCACAAAGACCTTTCTATGTGTGTTTAGGAATCTTTTGCCAGTCCAGCCTTCGACAAAAACTTACCTTAAATATGTAAATTTTTGGCGTTTGCAGGCCAGCAAATTCACAATCAAACAAGTGTTCAAAACGTTCAACGTGAAGAAATCAAACGACCTGGTCCAAACACACCTCCTTGATGAAGGCCGTCTATACCTGGACGAGTTCTTATCAGCACTGGTCCGCCAGTTAGCTGAGGAAATGCCATCCAGCGTGCCCAAGTGTCTGCAGACTGCTGTCAACTACCTCCACTGTGCTAAGGAAGAGATGAAGCCACACCCACCTTTACTTCTTGGTAAGTTTTACTTCTAGCCAGTCTCAGCAGAATAACATTCAGCTATTGACTGAAGAGATGCCATCAAGTGTCAGACAAGTCAGTGCAGATGGTTGTCAACTACATTCACTGTGCTAAGGAGGAGATGAAGCCACACCCACCTTTACTTCTTGGTGAGTCTTACTCCTTACCTTCAACAGCAGTATTTGACAGAAAGAGATGCCATCAAGTGTCTGCAGACGGCTGTCAATTACCTCCACTGTGCTAAGGAGGAGATGAAGCTACACCCATCTTTACTTCTTAATCCTTAGCTTCAACACAGAAAAACATTTGATATTTTTACTGAAGAGATGCCATCAAGTGTCTGCTAACTGCTGTCAGCTACCTTTAATAAATTAACTATGATACCTCCACAGTCCAGCAGTGGACGTCTTTCGGCTGAAACGAAAGAACGAACCTCCACAGAAGTGATGAGAGAACTATCAAAGGAACTCCTACATTCTTCAGATTTTTCACCTCCTAAATTTGTTCGTGGATTTCGAGACTTCCTGAGATCTCAACCTTCACTGGTAGAGGCAGTGTCGTAACTATACCCCTTAAGGCCTGTGGAATATTGATTGTCCCCTCAGTAAAAATCGTGCCATTGAATTCTAACACTTTATTCAGATTCATTTGGGTTTAGATCGTGTCTATATAGGTTGAGCTGTTATATCCAACCAAACCTTTCAGGCCTCCTCTACGCCGAGTTATACCGCATCAGAGAGAAGGCGTCCGAAGACTCGGACTTAGACCCGGACGTGACCAGAAGCGCCCGGACACGTCTGCTCCAGCTCATCAAGGATTCCAACCCTCTGGTGCGACAGAACTCGGCCCTCGCCCTGGCAAATATCAGCCTGGTAATGGCTCAAGACGGATGACTGGGCGAGAGGATATGCTTGGAGTACAGTCGTGGAAGGTATGTGCTGAGGATGAAGTAGTTTGGGTTGGGTACAGTGTCAAACAGTTCGTGACACAAAAAGTGTAAAATTTGATAATACAACCTTATTCTAATTGTAACAAAGACGTATTGCGAACTTTTTGGCTACTTTGGGCAGAGTAATTACAAATGAGTAGGTCATCTTCATAGAAACGCCCGAGCGCGGTTTGTATGTGAGCGCGCCAATACGTATGCGGCGCGCACGCACACACTGACAAAATTTAGCGGGGATTAGCGGAGAGTTGCCCCG